CAACAAATCATAATCATTAATCGATAAAAGACAAATATTCATATGTGATTGTGAGACGAAATTGACAACAAAATTTCAAAAAATTAAAACTTAAATGCATAAATAATGGAAATATTTAAATACATATACAATCTAATGAAAAAATAAAAGTCGTCAATCAAATTATTATTATTATTTAATATATTTTAATCAGGTCAATTATCAAATAAAGTTTTGATTGGGTCAAAAATAAAATTTTAGGGTCAAAACTTTAGAAGTTCAAATTTAAGAGCCCCTTATTGAAAATTACATTTTAATACTAATTACAAATTAAAATCAGGTCCTTCAACTATACAAATTACATGACAGGCCCTCCTTTTAAAATTGCAAATTTAAGCCCAATCTCTTAATTACAGACAGGGGCCTCTAAACCCATAATTTGCAACAGAGGCTCCTGTCTCCAACATATTCAAACCCGATTTTCAGAAAATCCTAAAGGGAAAAACTTTTCCTTTTTCGCCTCGGCTGCGACGCTGCATTTTGCCAGCACGTCGTCGCCCAGATAACCACCAAATAGGCAGCTTTATACAAATATATATGCACATGATATGTAAATATACAAAATGGCATGCCCATAAATTTATACGCATACGTACAGATTCACACACCTGTTATAAAAATTAAAAAAAAAAAAAAAAAAAAAAACCCAATACATATCCAGATTCAGATTCAAGAATTAATCCTAAAAGGAAGTTAGTCAAAATCTATGTTTTATTACGTGTGGCCGCGGATTTGCCTACTACGGAAGCCATGATGAAAGACAAAAATTGAATTGACTCTAAACATTAAATTTGCTGCTAGAAATCATGATTCAAAACATAATAATTCCAAAGCTCAAATTGGTGGTTGCGTAACCAAATTGTAAGCTTAATAACAATCCAAAATCTCGAAAATTTAACAATTTTAAATCCACTGGCGGCTGCGGAAGCCAAAATTAACGACTTTATATTTATTTTTAAATTGGCAGTTTGAAAAAAAAATCTAGAATTATTCAGCCAAAAATCGAGAGAAGGAAAAAAATTGTTTTTATGAAGGATTCTGATCTTAGCATAGAAACTCAGATACCAATTGTTAATTTTAATTGTAATGATGCTAAAAATCAAGAATCACCATATAATTAATTAATAAAACGAATTCATATCTGCGGAAGCTATCGTTGATATGATTAATAGCTGTAATTGTATTAGCAGCAAGATCTCCCCCTTTTTGCTCCTCACAAAGTATTAGCTATCAATGGGGCAAGCTAATTGAAAATAAAATTGTGTAGAGGAGAGAAGATCTAGCCTTTATATAAAAAAAATTGAGCTCCCATTATGATTAGAATTCTAATTAGGGTTTATTTCCAACCCACATACTTAAAATTACCACATCATATTAATTACAACTCGTAAGATGTAAAAGACTCAATTGATCACTTAATAAATTTGGCCCAAACATAAATATCATTATAAGTCATACATATAACCCGTAAAAATTGCAATCGAATGTGAAGCCCACATACGGAATTATTCCAACATTATGACCAGGCGACTCTGAAGCAAGTAGGTTGCTTCTGGTTTAATGTACATTAATGTTGCTCCATTCCTTTATTTCTCGTAACAAGCATAAATAACGTGGAACATCAAAATAGTAGAGTGCATTTCAGACTATGCTTCACCTTCAGTGAGATTGAGAGGTTGCGATTGAAAAACATGAGGTATGAATCATTTTTCAAGATGACCAAGTTTTGCATATAAGTCTCATTGAATTCTATTTAACCATGTTGTGGGATTTTACTATCAACTGAAGCGTTCACTGTATATAAATATATATATGTAAATATAAAAATCTCCCTTCTACTCAGTTTCAACTTTTTTTCTTTCTTCTTTTCTGCAGATTGACAAGATATGCAAAGTTGTAAACAAGCCTCCTGTAGTAACTCACACCGGTTTAATTCAAGCATGTCTTCATTCTGGTGACATTTGGAATGGGGTGTATGTCTTTAATTACATGCAGAAGTTCTGCTCTCCAAATTTGATAACTTGGAATATAATGTTGAAAGGTTTCTTGGCTCACGGGATGTTCGAAGAAGCCAAACTATTGTTTCTAAAATTATTGGAAAATGGCAACTCGGTTTACGAGAAATTGGATTATAAAGATAGGATTCTACCTGATATTTATGCATTCAACACGATGTTAGATGCATGCGCTGCAAAGAAGTGGGATGATGATGAGTTTGTATATGCACAAATGTTGCAATATGGACACCATTTCAATGCTAAGAGTCACGTTCGGATCATTTTGGACGCACGTAGCGTTGGAAATGTATTATTTTAAGCGTCTCTCTTTCATTCAGAATGCCTAAAATAGAGAGCTGTTTGGGGAACTAATAAAGCTTTTAAATCGAGAGATACACAACAAATGATTGCATATACGTTGGGCAAATTTTACTAATTTTTAATGTAGTTGTATCCGATTAAAATTTCACTGTTGCTTCCTTTTCGTCACCGGTAGCTGCTCTGTCCCTACATCGAAATAGAAAACCAAATGATCGAAAGGAAAAATCTCAAGGAGAATTCTGCTGTTTCTTGATACCTCATATTTTTCAATCTGAATAGTACCGGATTTTCTTTTTTATTACTTATTGTGATCATAGTAATAAGATAAGTGTAGTTTCTACACTTATTTGAGATCTTAAATGATGATATTTTGTTATTCTTTGAACGGATTAATACCTGATTTTTTATTTATTGCTTTTATTAGGAAAATTTCATGTTTCAAAGAAATATTGGAAAAAAGAACGAAAAGTGGCTAAATGAAGCAAATCCAAAGTATGGGGACCAAAGTGTAATTATTTAATGGTTGATTTGGACCACAAAAGGTACTGTGAAGATTGATAGGAGTCAATTAAATGCAAATTGGAGTCAAAAAGGAAAGGGATATGATTAGAATATTACCATAAATTGACTTCCAATTTTACATGATATTTTCAAGATTTTTGGTCAACTTGAGACCCATTTTTCGGATGGAGAACGTTTGAATTGGAAAAATTTTATTTCTAGAAAAATTGTAGATCTTTTAATTAGCTTTCCAATACACTTTGAATCACCTGAATCGGACACCGAAAGATAAAATTATGATTAAAATACTGAAAGCTGTGCAGAGACAAAATTATGCGCGCGCGAATGCAACTTTCCTTATTTGATTCAAACTTTTTTGGAAGACAATTTGGATGTGAATTTTGACCTAATTTCATCATATAAATACAAGATATGGGCAGCAATGAAAGGGTCTCTCTCTTGCCTCTTCATACACAATAGTTTCATCAAATTCATCAAGAACAATAGGCCAATTGCTATATTTTGATAGTGAAGATCAAGCCATAGAAAGGAATTGAAGTTCTGTTACATCAAGTTTTAAAGAATTCAACTTTGGACTTGAAGATCAACATCTTTTGTATTTTTTCATGATACGGGTGATATTTTTCTAATATTCTACTTGTAATTTATATATTAATATGTTAGGCTATTTTTTCATTGTATTGGATGAGATAAACCCTATTATTTATTTATTTTAATTCAAGACAAGTATTTAGTTTAATTCGTGTGTTACTTGATTAATTTTGCATTCCCATTGCACTATTGAATTGTTTGACTATCAATTGAATAGTTAGTTGCTTGTTATAGTATAGGAATACTCACAACGAGTCTAGAACGCAGCAAAATTAACATATATAGTTAGGATTAAGAATAATATCTATCATATATGCAATCATATTGATAACTTAAACTAAATGCATGATTTTTATATGAATTCAGACTAGGAATAGGATCGGGTCGTGTCGTGTTAATCATAGGTTGGTATATCTTGAAAAAGAACATTCAATATATTAGTGTAATCGATTGTCAAAAACTCGTAAAAGAAATTAGATTGCGAATCAAGAATTGAAATATATAGCAATAGGCGAAGTCAAAATCCAATACAATCCTCCATAATTTGATAAAACCCCAATTTTTATTGCTTTCTTAGATTAGTTTAGTTTAAATCAAATCAAAATATTTTTTTTGTTTTCATAACTAGAATTCTATACGAAACTAGTAAACTTGAATTAAATTTATTCTCTGTGGGACGATAACTCTTAACTCACTTATTATTACTTGTCAACGATCACGTACGCTTGCGGGTATCACACGAACATAATATGTCTAGACTCACTAATAAGAGCAACTACTGTCGCATGACCAAGTTAATAAAAGATCAAATTTTACTATGTCATTTTTTTAATGTGATTTTCTTAAGTTTTGTTGCATTTTTTTGTGCACAGTTTTTCGGGTTTTTTTTCTTATGGATTTAAAATATGAAAATTCCTTCTAAATATTTTTTGTCCGATCTTCCACATAAATCCTTTGTTTTTGTCAAATGTTTTTCGATAAATGTATGGAATCAGGGAAATTGGCACAAGTCAAGAATAATTCCATTAAATCATTATTGCATTTGCCATATTTGGTAAAGTTGGACCTTTACAAAATGCTAACATTTTTCCTGAAGACTCAACACCCTAACATAACTTTAAAAAAAAATCAGTCCGTGCATTGCACCGGCAGGCACTAGTTATGTTAAATTTGCTTATTCCTGTATATAATATTTTCTTTATGTTTTTTTAATCTGTATAAACAAAATAAATAGAGAAACATTGTGAGTTGGACCGAAACGAGCATGGTCGGGCGGCCCGGTTGTCACCTCTGGCTATTTGTCCAATCAGGTCACAGTCGATGGCACTAACGTAATATACATCAATGTTCATGGTACATATGTCAATGCAACCTCCAAAACAAACACACAATGCATCAATCTTTACCGACTACCGTTCATCTCCTTCCATGTCATCAATCCGGACCTCTCCAATCGAACGGCCCCCGATGGCTGTATCAACAAACACACATTTTATTCACTCCGTATAAAGTGCTACACGGCCAAACTTAACTCAACCCTAACTCGGACTCGACTCACCCGTCGCCTCCAGGCTCCATATTATCTACACAGAGCGCACAGAAAGTTCTAGAGAGATAAAACTCTAGAGAGAGAAAATTAATTTTTCTAGTGTCATAACTTTTAAACTTTCCCCCAGAAAAATCCAAAAAGAAAAATTATCACTTGCAAGTTATCCGTAGATTTTTTTATTTTTTTTTATTTGTGTAAATTCAAAAGATAAATTATAAGTATATGCATATATAGCAAAGGACTTGGTGGTTTAATGGGTGAGATCTGGGAAAGAGCAGTGGAGACTGCATTAGACGGCGAAAATGACGTCGCGTCTGTCCGAACGTTAACCCTTGACGGCGCAGCGAAGTGCGTTCATGGCCGGTTACCGCCGCCGTCAATTTTCGAGAAGTTTAGTAACCTCCAGCATCTGTCTATAGCGAATATTGGCCTTTCGTCTCTTGAGCAGTTTCCTCGGCTTCGGAATTTGCAGAAGTTGGTGCTATCGGATAATCGGATTTCTGGAGGCCTTGAATTTCTTGTTGAGGCGGGTTTAGAATTTCTTCTTGATCTTGATTTGTCGAATAACAGGATTTCGGATGTTAATGATTTGAGACCCTTGGCGCAGCTGAGGTTAATGTCACTGGATCTTTATGAGTGTCCGGTTACGCGGGTTAAGGACTATAGATCGCGGGCTTTTGAGTTGATAGGGTCTTTGAAATACTTGGATAACATGGATGCAGAGGGGAATGAGAGGCCTGAGTCGGATGATGATGAGGAGGACTCAGATGACGACGAAGAAGATGATGCTGGGAGTGGGGAAATTGAAGGGGGGAATCGGTCGTTTAGCTTAAGTAATGAATATCTAACTAGGAATGATGGTGTTATTGATGTTGATGAGGACGAGGAGAGTGATGCCGATGAGGAGGTAACAGAGACTTCTAGAGGGATTAATGGATTAAGTGGTGCAAGCAATTCCCATCAGCTCTCGAATGGGTTTAGGTTGGAGGATGAGGGTGATGACAGTGAGGAAGCTGATGATGAGTCGGTGGAAGAGATATATGAAGAAGATGAGGGTGAGGACGATGATGTTGTGGAGGTCCACGAGATAGATGACAGTAGTGGCAAGGAGGATGGGGTGGCGGAAGATGAAGAAGATGACGAAGAGTTGGATAATGATGATGGTGATTTTGAGGAGCCTGCTAGTAACGGTAGGTTGATAGGCGTGGAAGGAGAGATTGATGGGCATGAGCAGGGTGAAGAGGATAACGGAGAGATGGGAGGGGAAGATCTGGATGATGAGGAGGATGGAGACTTTGCGGATGACGATGAGGTCATAATCTATTTATCTTTGTGATTATATCGTCCTTATTTGGTGATTTATTGGTTTGGAGTTGCTGATTGGGTAACATACCCAAGCTTTTAGTTTTTATTGATTGAGCATCTGATTGCACATGCTTTGTTTATATGCTAAAAACTGTGAATAATCATACTAGCTTTTTGACACACCAAAGTTGTGGTAAATATTAGTTGGCCCATGCTAGTTTGCATGTAGTATTCTATATTGTTGCATAAGCATTTGCAGTATCAATCTTGTGTTTTACATTGATGCACCTTGATTTACAAAATAGTTTTGGTAGTTTTAAGAGAAATGAAGACTTTTAGCTCCTGAAATGATACGATGCATGCATTGATATTCTGCTGTGTGCATTTTTTTTTTTTTTTTGGTCGAATATTTCTCACAAGTTATGTGAATTCAAGGAACTTTGTCTTGTAATGTGTTTTCTTATTAGTATGTTGAAATTGTTTCTCTTGTTTGAATGGCCATAAATTTATCTTTTTCTGAGTGGATTTCTGTAATGTTTGGTGCATGATTTCTAGGAGAGTATCTCTATGACCCCTCATTGTTTTGCATACGTTCCCTGGTTGAGGTTTTTTCTTTTCACATATTTTTATGGGGTTGAAATGCCGGAATCTGCAGTCCTGTTAGATTTTGATTTGTTAGTATTTAAATTCCTGTGAAATTTCTGTGATTGTTCTTCAAGAAATAGCAGAAAGTTTAAAGATGTTCATTTCTTTTTGTTAAGCTATTGTAGATGATGTCTACTGCAAATGCTAGCTTTCTTCTGTTTTTCTTCAAAATTTCCTGGTTTTTTCAAGCTGAAATGAGTTTCCTTTAATGGCAGGAAGAAGATTATGGTGCAGGGTACCTTATTCAAAGAGTTGGACAAATACAGGTAGATGCTGATGATAGTCATTTGGACCAAGGAAATGAAGGTACTGATAAGGAAGAAGATATCAGCGACGAAGATGACCAAGATGGTTCTGTCCAGGAGCTTCCAACATCTTCTCGAAAGAGAAATAGAGACGAAGATATTGATAATGGAGAGGATGAAGAGGAGAAGAAGAAGCACAAGTAATTATGGGTATGGTTGGTTTTGTTTATTCCTAAGTAAATGGTGGGAACTTGAAATTTGCAGTCTGGTATTATAAACTGTTGGGTGTTTAATTGACAATATTTGGAGGGAAACTGTGAATATGGACCTTATTGTACTCTGTTATATGTTCAAAAAGTAGTTTGTTTGGAGTAGCCGTTGGTTGCTTTGTGATAATTTATTCAAATGTGAGTTATGAGTGAGTTCAACTCGCTGTGTAACTCAGTTGCATTGAAAGGAAACGAAAGAAAAGCCCTTATTTCTTGTTTGCAATTCTTGTTATTTCTTCCCTCTTTTTGATTGGCTTGTGAAACCTATTGTAGATAGATTGTGAAATCCGTGATGTACTCTATCATCAAAGTGCTAAATGGATTGGGGCAGCAACTACTTATATTACTTACAATTGGGCTTGGACTCGGCCGATGCATTGAGAATTTGGTGCTGCAGTTGGCATTTAAATGTTTAAGAGAAATTGACGTCAATGGCACCGAAATGAGTACTTTATGATTTGAGTACTCATTGCAGACCTCTGTTTTTGCACCATTTTTTTTAGTGATAATTGCAATAGAGACTTCAAATCTTTAAAACATTAGCAAATTTTTCCAAACATTTAATTTATTGTAATTGTTACTCCAAACCTTTAATTTTTTTAATTATTATTATTATTTCTTATTTTTTTTTAAAAAATCTAATTTCTAACTTATTTTAATATAGTAAATGGAAAGTTACTTTTTTACCCTTTCAAAAACATGAAAAATATGGTCAAAGTCAAATTTCTTAATCAACTACCAGACTTTTAGATAAAAATCGTCCAAAAAGGCTTTCATCGCAACGTTTCGAAATATTTGAAATGACGGTTGCAACAGATTAAAAGTTTGAAAAAAATATGTTAATGTTTTAAAGGTTTAGGGCTTTTACTGCAATTATCCCTACTTTTTAGAAGGCTTTTAGCCCCTGTATGGTCTCCATTTTGTAAAAATGAAAATTGGTGGAATGATGTTTTTTTTAAAAATGAGTGGTTGAAAAAAAAGGAAATTTTTTCGATTTACGTGTAATATTATTTTATAGAAGATTGTGTCGTTAAAAATAAGAGAGAAAAATATAATGTAATGTAAGGAAAATTAATGGGGGCCAAACGGGGGCTTAATATTGTATAGAAAATAAAAAAATGTATATCCATCTTTATGTACTCTTTATATGGTAGACTAAGAAATTAATAAAATCATCCTTGATAGAATTTTATTCATAATTATCACACTCGATTTAGACATTAATTTGGTCAAGGTAACAAGTGTTTTATGGGTTGGGCCACACGCTAAAGGCAATTATGGGTAACGTTTGGGTTGATTAGACACTTTCTCGAGTTGAGAGTCGAAAATTGAAAAGTCGGTTGTTTAGTGGTAGGCTATTTATAGTAAAATGGTGCTAGATAATAAAGTTAATAAAAATTTATGTTAAAAATCAACTATTTTAACCTTAAATTTTATTGAATCTACAAAATCTTTACGAAACTTTTATCAAAATATACCAAAAAATCCTATTTTCATCTACGCCATATAGGAGTTAAATTTATATATAGAAACGACTAAAGATTTATTTATGTATTTGTATAATTTAAAATTACGTTGCTTGGTGGTTCACTAGGCGAACTCTTTTTGGCAAGTAAATTTTATTTATCTGCACTCGATTTATAAAAAGATTTTAATATTCTGAAAAAAGTGGTTTTTAATTTTCATTATCATCTAATAATTCACAACTCTAGATTATTAATCCTAAGGGACCTCTACGTAGAACATTTCTATTAAATCCACAAAATCACATTTTGTTTCTAGCTAATCAAACTCTGTTTACAAGTGAACTACACACGAATGATATGATTTGTATGCATATAGTCATGGAGTCTTACAATCGACTCCATTACACAGGTCGAGTCGACTACAGATTGATACAAACTACGAACACGACAAGAATACGATGGTCAGTGTAATATAATATAGCATTTAGCTTATGTTTGGTTCTCATTTTTCAAAAACTCATTTTTTTTTTTCGAATTCATTTTTAACCATATTTTAATTGATAAATGATAAAGTGTCATATGAATATTATCTAATTCCTTATATAAACTTTGATGTACATATCTTGGAAACTGGAATTACCTAAAATAAAGTGGATTTTGTCACCCGATTATTGGTGGAGAAACATCATAAGACAAAACAACTGCTACCTATGTGTCCATAGCATAAGATTTGGAGAGAGAGAGAGAACAATCAAAAGCCCTCCTTTGTAGGAGGCAAGTGTGTGGGAGAAAGGCCTAATGTTTTGTAAGATAGAAAAATTACAATATTTCAATGTCTTCTCTCTCTAACTTTGCAGACTCCTTAAACAAATCTTCATTCAGGTACATTTCTCTCTCTAAACAAATGTTGTTTGTGTTTAAGGATGTTTTATTAGGGAATAAAGAAAGAGGCTTGAATATTTATTGGTGCATGTATATATTGTTTGATGCATGATTTGTTTCGTATAATCTTGGAATTTATGTATTCTGGTACATTTCTTGAATCGTCTGTTTACATAAATAAAGAAATTGTTGATTTAAGATGTAATGTTACGTATGCATGTGCATATTTGTTTTGCATAAACTTGGATTATATTTATTTAGGTGCAGTGATTTGTCGTGGCAAGCAGTTTCCTGGGAGAAAGTTTGAGTTTCCGGACTATTTTTTGATCGGAAACTTCGCCGGAAAGCCGTATTGAAAAATGGCATCCTCTCCTGAGGCTGCTAAACCACAAGATCCTAATAAAGATTCTCCACCACCACCTCCATCTTCGATGGATGATTTATCGCTACCTCCAGATTCATCTTCTCCAGCGCCAGCAGACAATTCTCTTCCCTCTCCTCATGATACCCCACCACCAACTAAAGCTTCCCCACCACCGCCACCTCAACCACCTCCATCACCACCACCACCACCACCAAAAGAATCTCCCTCAGAACCAACCCCGTCAACGCCTGAAAAACCCCCGTCTACACCTGAAAAACACAATTCACCACCACCCAAGGGACCGCTTTCTCCTCCAACATCATCGCCTATTACTCCAGCTCCTCCTGGATCTCCTCCAACACATGCCTTATCTCCACCATCACATCATTCGCCATCACAAAAGTCGCCATCATCTGATTCGTCAGCATCTAGTGATAGTGGTTCGTCGCCATCATCTGATTCATCTTCTTCTAGTGTACCAAGGATTACCGGAATTGTCATTGGGGGAGTATTCTTGTTTGCCTTATTCGCCATTTGCTTAGTATGTTCAAGGAGGAAGAAGAAACGGCCATACTATCCTGCATATCCAGGCAAGGGTGCAATTTCTCATTTTATATTTCAACTTGGCTTGATTTCTGATGGATAAATATATATGTACCGAATTAGTTACCTACTCTCACGTGCACGTAGGCCCCGCGTGCATTTAAAAATTTCGGCATGTGGGACCCGCCCTCCTATTGTGTGTGTAGGTAAAAGATTTAGTAAAAAAGTAAATGTACATCTAGCATTGTTCATTTCTGATACTACGTTGAACTAGACTAATCTAAAAGTTGATTTCTTCTTTATTGTGCAAAATTTCCTCAATTCTATGTGCATCGGTTTTTTGCTTTCAGTTGGTGACAACTACTACAATGGCAACTCAGACTGGAATAGTCCTAAACCTATGGATCACATTGTTAAGCTTCATCCACCACCAGGTGTTATGGGGACACCAGTAGGTGGTGCTGGCGGATGGGGGGCACCACCACCTCCGGGAAATGCTAGTAGCGAATTTAGCTCCGGGCAACATCAGACGCCTTTACAATCTCCATCACCTAACATGGGCATTGGTGGCTTTTCCCAGAACCAGTTCACTTACGATGAACTCGCAGCAGCAACAGGGGGATTTTCTCAAGCCAATTTGTTAGGACAAGGTGGATTCGGGTATGTACACAAAGGTATATTACAGAATGGAACGGAAGTCGCGGTTAAGAGTCTCAAGGCAGGCAGTGGACAAGGAGAACGAGAATTCCAGGCCGAGGTTGAAATAATTAGCCGTGTCCATCATCGCCACCTCGTGTCCCTTGTTGGATATTGCATTGCTGATGGACAGAGAATGTTGGTGTATGAATTTGTTCCCAATTCGACCTTGGAGTTCCACCTTTACGGTAAGTTCTACGCTATTATGTCACCAAATCACGAAATTTTGTTATGTTTCCTCTTTGTCCTTAAGATGGAATTTGAACTTCTATAAAAGGATATTTCAAGTTTCGAGGCTTGTATAACTCTTTCAGCTGTATAATGTCGTCTTTTACTTATGATATGTGTCGTTGCAGGGAATGGTCAGCCAGTGATGGATTGGGCGACTAGGCTTCGTATAGCAGTAGGATCAGCCAAGGGACTTGCTTATCTGCATGAAGATTGTATAGAATTCTGCTCATCTTCCCTTTATATTTATGAATACATAAATTGTTATGAATATTTCTTGATATGTGGTACGATTACAGGCCACCCTCGGATTATACACCGTGACATCAAGGCAGCGAATATCCTTCTTGACAACAATTTTGAGGCCATGGTAATATATATAAAGTACTAAAACATGTTTTTTATGCTACACGACGAAGAAAGAGCGAAGTATAAATTTTGTTTGTCGTATAGCCTCGAATGGATCATTAACGAGCAAGTTAAATTGATTGGTCCAGGTGGCAGATTTTGGATTAGCTAAGCTCTCTTCGGATAATTTTACTCATGTTTCTACGCGTGTCATGGGAACTTTTGGGTACAACTTACTTAGCCTATATCAAATTGTTTGAGTTGAACTCTCAGATGATTTTCTTTTGTGTTAGAAGCCAAAAAAAGGGCATTCATGGTCTGAAAAACGGTATTTTTGATGAAATTCAGGTACCTAGCTCCTGAGTACGCATCAAGTGGCAAACTAAGTGAGAAGTCTGATGTTTTCTCATTCGGGGTGATGCTCTTAGAGCTCATAACTGGGCGTCGACCTGTCGATCTTACTAATAGAATAATGGAAGACAGTTTAGTAGACTGGGTTTGTTCTTGATTCTGCTTTTAGCAATTCTCGTGAATTACTTAAAGAAAAAAATATGTTTCTTAACATTTGCCCCTTTTTTTCTTCTTGTTCTTATTTATTTTGGCAATACGCAGGCTAGGCCACTTCTGGTTCAAGCTTTGGAAGATGGAAACTACGATGAGCTCGTAGACCCACGCCTTGAAGGTAACTTCGTTCCCCAGGAGATGGCTCGAGTGGTAGCATGTGCAGCTGCTAGCATACGCCATTCAGCCAGAAGGCGACCACGGATGAGCCAGGTAAACTGTTCTGTTGGATTGAAGATCAAAGCTTATTATAATTTAAACCTATCAAATATAATTCTTGAACACATATTTTGTAAGACCCACAATTTATCAGCACTTAAATACTACCAAACAAACACAGAGATATTAGTCCTTTCTATAGAACAATCATGAAGTTCCCTTTTTTAACGTTGTTTGATGTTTAAAACCTATGTCAGATTGTACGTGCTTTGGAGGGAAACTCATCCCTCGAGGATTTAAGCGAAGGCGTGAAGTCCACGGGCCAAAGTGCAGCCCATAAAAGTAGTGGAACCATGAGTGATATGTACGACACTCGTGCATACAATGCAGACATGATGAAGTTCAGGAAGATGGTGATTTCAAATCCGGATAATGCTAGCAGCGAATATGGAGCAACAAGTGAGTATGGACTCAATCCATCCTCATCAAGCAGCGACTCGAGAGAGCTCTACGAAACAGGTCCCCACAAGCAAAAATCATACAGGAATACATGATGCTTCCAAGCTCTAAGTGCATGTTTTGTACTGAATTTTATATTTTAGCAATACAAGACACTATCAAGCTTTAAGTGCATGTTTGACACATAATATCAGATCGTACTGGACAGTACGATTTACAGACAAAAACTGGATGTAAATTGATATCGTTTTTAAACTAATATTCATTTATTGTTGGTTTCATGCTCAATATGCATATACAGGCATAAACACGAAGTTGGATTTGCCTTTGTTTTATTGGTGTAATATAGTTCAAGATGCTATGTGAAGTTTAAAGACTATAATTCATATCATTTTATTATCATTAGTGTTATTTATGAAGGAAGGGAGTAACATTTTTTTTTTTTAAATTATAAAATATGCTGCATTTTTCAAAAATTTTGTGAAATTTTGTTCATTCTATACTTGGAAGTGATATTTTACGTTAAACTTTTACTTGTAGTGGAATGCTAACTTAACTATCGCGTGATTTGCAATTCTAAAGTAAGAAGTGATAGATAATTCGGACTACATTTCAGTTAAGAATATCAACAAAATTGAAATTTTCAACTTAAGTGTTTGCTACATTTATTTTAACACGGAAAAATAATATTAATATACGAACTCACAGTTGTCAAAAATGTAATTTGAGAATAACCTAAGCCAAAAAGCCAATTAAATCCATATTATCTTCTTAAGACAAATTTTGTGAGAATTTTCTTTGGCATGTAAATGAATGTTGAAAGCACGTCTTTACAATAGCAAATTTCTATATGGGTAACTGAAGAAAATACAAATTTAGGTTGGGTAATTGCCATGCCATGTTGTAAAAATTAATTGTTTTTATGTTTTCAAAACACTAAAATGCAGGAAGTTAAGAATACTTTGTTGGATGAATTTTGTGAATAGTGACGCCAAAATAAGTATAATGATGGTTTGTAAATTCGTGCCGAAAATTGGACAGAGTAACGGCAAAGAAAACACAAACAAGAAGAAGAAGAAAGTAGGGACAAAGTCGAGGCAAGAGTTGGACTCTTTGTCCTTAAGTCGAATTTGCACCGCAACGGTGCCTACGGATTTTGGCAATCGACTCCCAAGATACAACGGCTACACTTGTGTTTGTAGCACTCCAAAACACAAGTACAACGAACCAAATTTAGGCTTATGTATTCCAAGGATGAAATGAAGGAAAATCAAAATAAATGAAATGATTTTGATTTTGGATAGAAGAGGGGATGAGAGATGTTTTGCATATCAAATTGTGAGGAATAGGACACCCAAATGGTCCTATTTATAGACTATGAAAGGGTGTGGACGAAATGGTTGAGGCCAAACCATGCACCCTTTCCAAACAATGCACCTTTATGAAAAGGTGTATATTCACGTCGCACGGTCAAATATTTTGACCTGATTTTCGTCCTTTTTCGTAATTTCTCATTCATCCGATATTGATTTTCGAAATGCCAAATATACCCTTCAATACATGCAGAGAAATCAAAATTCTCTTTCGGGGGCGTTGCCCCCAAGGGGGGCGCTGCCCCCTCTACCCTCGAGACCAGATCGGGTAGGTCGATCCCCGTTTGTGCATCCCGAAGCGGCGAAGTGGCAAACAATTTTGCCTAAATAGATTGAGTCAAGTTTTTGAGTATTTGGCCGAAGTCGATACGAAATCATTTTAATCGATTTTCAATTCTCGATTTATTTAACCAATATCCAACATACTTATCGAATGATTATGATTCGTGATAGCACTATGTTTTATAGTGAAATTACCGGTCATTAATTGTTGCGGCCTCTTTGGACAGTCAATCCAATATTCAACAATCAAATCACTTGGTCAACAATAACAAGTGATTTTCATAACTGTTGAGTTTGCTTTAGAACATTATCTCAATAAAATAACTCTAAAATCAATTTTAGAATCCACGCAAGGAAAATTACTTGCCATTTGTTGGTTATTAGCGGCATCTTAAAAAGTCAAGAAATGATTTCTCTTCGTATAAATGAATTTATTTATTTATTTTTTTTTAAAAATTTGAAAGAAAGGATTAAGAAGTGATGGTTAAATCAGAGAATTCGCAATGCCATCTGTAGGGTCTTGACCTATAAATGAATCTTTATAAGCTTCTAAAATATTTTTTAGACCCTGACGAATGTCCCAGTTAGTTCTATATCTTTTTGAAAGAAAATAAAAGGGTATGTATAGCCCACGAAATATAACGTCCACTAATGATTCAAAATTAATATAAAAAAAAAAAACTGTGGATGTTATTATTTTATTAAATTAATTGCATACAATTTTTCATAACAATAAAATGCAAAAAGTTAGAACACTTATACAACATTCGAGACTCGTTGCAACATGATGTCCTAAAATGAAATTGTTCATCATTAATCGGTGCGTGTCTTTGGACAATTACTCCCTCTATACATAGATAAAATCTCTTTTTCAACAATAACAAATAATTTTTAGAGCTCTCAACAATTATTTTTAGATATCTTAACAAAACAATTCTAGAATAATTCTTTTTATAAAATGCAGATGATAAAAAATGATTTCAGCATCTTTTTTTTTTAAGGAAAAGAAGTGGGTATGTATAGCCCAGAATTATCTCTCTCACTAATAGTTTAGAAATAATAACAAAAAAGTGGGTTTTATTATTCCACTTAATTAATTGCAGATACTTTTTCAGAACAATAAAATGCAAAATGTTAGTACATTTATCGAACAATCAAGACTCGTGATAACACGATATCCTAAAATGAATTTGCTCATCGTTAACTCATGTGATCTCTTTTATTAATCATTCTCAAGATACAACGATCAAATGACTTGTTCAAATATACAAAGCGATTTTTAAAACTTTGTAAATTTACTTTATATCAATATCTTAACAAAACAATTTTACAACAATTTTTTTAAAATTTTTTTATAAAGTGCAGTAGATGAAAATTTTATCTTTTTAACAAAAAGAGTGTATCTACGAATTATAACTTTATGTAAAAATTCACAATTAATAAAAAAAACTGTGAATGTTATTATTCCACTAAGGGTCCGTTTAATTGAGAAGACGGAATTTGGATGGAAAGAATATGAATTCCAGGAAATTGAATTGTCTAAAAAAATTTTCCTGGGAATTGTAAATTATTTGTTTGATTGGTGTGATTTTTCACGTGGAAAATGTTGAAATAAAAGTATTTTTTGGTGTTCGTTTGACTTTATTTTACATGACAATTGTCAATTAAAAGGATATAATTTACTAATATTGGGGATGAAATTTGTTTCCATTGCAAAAAAAAAAAAAAAAAAAAACTCATCTATCTTTGATGTTCGTTTGACTTTATTTTACATGAAAATTGTCAATTAAATGAAAATATTTTTTTACAATTAGGGATAAAATTTGTTTTCATTGTTAAAAAAAATAAAAAATCGCTACCGTAACCGAGAAAACCAATTCCCACCTATGAAAACCAAGGGAAATTCTATGTGGTAAGACAACCAAGAAATTCATTTCCACTGGGGAGAGAAAAAAAGGCAATCAAACACCCTTAAAATTGAAAAATGGAATTCATTTTCCATTATCCATGAAAAATCTCTCCTATCAAATACAATATAAATTAATTGCTGATACATTTTCGAAAATATAAAAATGCAAAAAGTTATAACACTTATCAAATTAAAATATAGAAGCTCTCAATAGTACAATGTCCAAAGTGATATTGTTTATCATTAACTTCTACAACCTCTTTCAACAATTATTCTAGGTTACAATTATCGAACCACTTGTTCAACAATAATAAACTATTTTCAAAACAATCAAGTTTTATTTTGGAGCAATATCTCAACAAAATAATTCTAGAATCAATTTTTTATGAAGTGCTGAAGATGAAAATGCTGGGAATCTACTTATCATGTGCAGCAGAAAATTAAAACAATTTTCAATTCTCACCAGAATTCATTTTTATATTTAGATAGAAATTGTCATAAAAGTCGTACATTTTACTGGATCTGCAAACCCCTTTGCTTTTTTTTTTTGTTCTAACGATCTTGATTCGCCTCCACAACTGTTCAATTATCCAGCCTTTAACGGTGATGAACACAGAGAACAAGATTGTAGGATTAGAATTTTCTTCTTGTGTTAGCAAGAATAATGAATTCACTCTAAAATTTTAAACGCTAATCACTTATTTATAAAAGCCAAAACGGGTTTGGCCTGACCCGATCCAATATTTAATTAATCCATTTAATTAAATATGGTCCGTGAATTAACTAATCCAATTATTTGAGCCTATAAATAAGCAATCAAATTAATTAATTTATCCAACATTTGTTAAATTAATTAATTGATAAATTATAATCTTCCAGTTCTCATTTTATGTGCGACCGTCAGGCTCCTGATCACGATATCTAACGACGTGACATATTATTTTGATCTAATCAAAATTGATAAATTAAAACACCCTTTTAATTTATTACCAATTCACACTCACCGTCCTAAATTGACATCTAGCAATGTGTCAAGGCAATACACGTGTTTGGACCTACGAACTAACAAATTATGAAGATTTGAATTACGAAAATTTGAATATACTCAGGGCCTGTTTGGGAGTGATTTTTCCTCCCAAAAAATTGATTTTTTGACCGTTATTTCACTATTCCAGCCGTCATATTTGACTTCTTCTCTCACAGGTGGACCCCACTATTTTCCTAACTGTCAAAAAACCAATTCTCAAAATCACTCCCGAACAGGCTCTCATTGTAATTAACAAATTCACAACTCCTTATAATTAACAATTTATGAAGATTTGAATCTACGGACTCTATTATTTAATTTAATTAAATAATATATTTGTCATAAAATTGCATTAATTATATGTTAAAAGTATTTATATCCAAAATTGATTGGATTTAGGGCATAACACTTACAGAAAATGAATACCCTTTTTTTTTATATAGAAAATGGGTGTATATGGCCCATTAATTATTATTTTCAAGAATAGTTCAGAATTAATAGAAAATGTGGGATTTGTTAATACACTAAATTAATTGCAGATAAATTTTTGGAATAATAAAAATACAGAAAGCTATAACACTTTTTGAACAATCGAGACCCGTTATGGCACAATATCCAAATGTTAAATTACTCCATGTTGACTTTTATGATCTCTTAGGACAATTGATTACTGTAGAATACAATGATCGAATAATTTATTCAACAATAAAATGGTGATTTTTAGAAAATTCAACAATAAAATTGTGATAATGTATGATTAAGAGTAATTGTTAAACTTTTTAACAACTTATAAACTTTTCCCAAA